GGGCGTTATCCGCAACGTGACGTATAAATATCAATGGGCGTTATCCGCAACGTGACGTATAAATATCAATGGGCGTTATCCGCAACGTGACGTATATCAATATCAATAGGCGTTATCCGCAACGTGACGTATATCAATATCAATAGGCGTTATCCGCAACGTGACGTATAAATATCAATGGGCGTTATCCGCAACGTGACGTATATCAATATCAATAGGCGTTATCCGCAACGTGACGTATATCAATATCAATGGGCGTTATCCGCAACGTAACGTATATCAATATCAATGGGCGTTATCCGCAACGTCGCGTATATCAATATCAATGGGTGTTATCCGCAACGTCACGTATATCAATATTAATGGGCGTTATCCGCAACGTGACGTATATCAATATCAATATCAATAAGCGTTATCCGCAACGTGACGTATATCAATATCAATGGGCGTTATCCGCAACGTGGCGTATGGGCGTTATCCATTGGTTACCGTTAAGTGAAGGACTGCTGTACATTGTAACAAATATAGTATTTAACCGCAAACACGTTATTGAAACCAGGGTTTGAATGGGGTCATACCCGGAAATAACCTTCAAACCCGTTGGAGATCTTAACCGCCCAATGTTTTGAAGCAACTCTAAATGTTTCCTTGTTTTTAATTAATCGGATATACTCGTATGTAGCTCACTGCGAGCAGTTGTGCGTTGTTTTATAATCCAGTTCATATCTTTTGGATTTGCTGATTTACGAATCTAATCCACAGGTGACAACTAGGTAAGTGATTCTCGTTAAAATGGCGTCGTATATTATCCCACATTTGTTAGCGGTTGGTACAGTGAAGTTCTTAGTAAATAATCGACTGATATATCCGTTCCAATAGATTGTTCATCACTGTTTGTACCACCAACTAGTACTTTATTTCGTAAAGTTTAGCAAGGTCGTCTTATAATGATATTGGCCGCTGATAAGAACCCGATATATCTTTATGCGGTATACGCCCGTTAAGAAGTTGTCCAATTCGGGAAGTGTCAGTTGTTGCTATTTCTATTCATGACGGTGTGTTCTGCTTCGAGTAACTTGTATTGTTCACGCTGTGTTTTTCCGAGGACTGAGCGTACTTCGTTTCTATGGCAACGCTACCTTGTGTCGTATATCACATGTATTTATTTTTAAAACCGTCAGCATCGTCTAAATCCGTTTAAATTGATAGGACTTTACTATTTCATATAACTACATGAAGTGTAATGGCGTTATTTGCATTCGCTGTCAAACAGAAGAGCGAATATACAATGCCCCGTACAAATAGTGTTCACTTCCTCCTTGACGTTTTCGCTGGGTATTATAATCTAGGCGATTTAATAAAGAATCGAAAGCTATATGAAAACATGATCGGATAGTAATATTTAATTCATGTGACAAATCTAGTTCAAACCTAAATTAAAGCACAATTGTTTTACCACATCTCCATTTAGAAATGTTTTACGGAATATTTTACGGAAAAAAATATATATCGTAGATGAGCAAATCTATCGTGTCTTTTCCATATTTATTTTTTACACAGTGGGAAGAAAAAGACCACGCCATTGATATCTAGGCAACACGATAAATGGCATATTGTCACTTGACTGACGTGGGATGGACGCAATCGCCGGCATTGCGGTGTAGCAAATGTACTGAGCCCCCGGCATGGAATCTACGTGAACCGCCATGCCTCTCCCTTGAAGGTACGTTATGTACATTTGCATAACAATTTATTAGTGGTAGCGGTGAAGAAACTCTGGGAGGGATGGTCAAAGACCAAACAAATTTGGTATTGTTTTCTTCACTAAGTTTTGTTGTAATTATTTTCTATGATAAATTCGCATATCATTTTACTATTATAAATTTGCATATTTTACTGTAGTTATATTTCCCCTGTTTTGCCATGATTTGTTCCTGTTCATTTTTTCCAAATTCTTCATCTCTCCCAGCGTTTTTAATCATTCACCTTTTACACAGACACTTTGGTGTCATCGAATACGACAGAGCAGACAAATATTTAATTACCGTTTGTTATTTTTCAGTGCATTTTTATGTAATTTCAATTTACATAAAATAACTAAATCATATTGTCTGCATGTGAAAACCATTTTTCAAGTTATTGGAAATGTGACAAAATTAGGGAGAAGCTATTGAAAAATAAGTTTTTACAAAAACCTCTTACCAATATTGTCGCAGTAGTGCTCAGATTGGTATATATACATAAATTGTCAGTGGTAAAGCTTTTTGACGCATCAATATGTGGCCGTGCTAGAGTAAACTGCTTGGGCTTCTTTGTATTTCACCAGTTTCGAATGTTCCCATCCTGCTGATGACTTTCTTTGCCGCATTCTGCATCACATAGGACCCTGCTGGGATCAAGTATAACACCAGCACATATTTGATGTTTATGACGGCACACTCTCTCCTAATGATTCATTATTTTAAATTAAATGTTTTCTTCGAATTCCCATAATTTTGTGAACATTATTATCCAATATTTTCCTATCC